GGTAAACTTCACGAATATCTCGGCATTCGTTTTCCCATTTGCCCGTGATTTAACTAAACTTGATAAAGAAGTGCCAAAAGCACAACAGTCCATAGTTTATGCGCTTGGAAATGCAAAAATCGCAGCCAATTCCCCGATCAAAGGACATTGTAGAACACCACAAGCATTCATAACACATACCATTGATCGATATGCGCACATAATGGAAATCGATGAACGTGGCACATCGATGCTCTGTAGTCGATGTCAAAAAATCACAGATCGACCAAAAGACCGACAAGAGAATCCGGAGAATGTGAACAAAAAGGATCGGTAAGTTTTTTTGTATTGCATTGTTTTTATAGATGAAAAATTTAATTGAATTTAAATTGTATCGTTTCTCACGGCCACTGTTATATCAGTTTCTTAGTTTGCAACAACTGCGAACCGGCCCGCAATCATGTTCTCCCGGCACCAAATGAGTGGATAGGCAAAATTCATCATACATTCCGACAAAAACATCGCCTTGAATTGGAACCGAATCTCAAGCATTATGGACATTCTATCGCGAATCAACAATACAATGGACGCGAACAAACTATTGTTTTGGACCGTGACCTGAATGCATCACGCAATATGATATACAAAGGACTATGTATGTTGCAAAATATTCCAATCAATCCGGATTTCAATCGGAGAGCAGCCGATCTACGACAAGAAGCCGTGAATATCAACCATGGTCGTCTCCCACGGGAGTGAGTATCGGCTATTTTTATACAAAAAATGTTATATCAGTTTTTTTTATACTGATGTCGATTTTATTTTCTCGTTTCGTTTCTTTTTCGATTGATTTAGGTAGTGACCATGGCAGTGTCTCAAGACACAAGTTCTATTCTATAGTGAGTTTTATTTTCTTCCACAGAATAGCGCGTTAAACTCAACTACTACTACTACTACTACTACTACTACCAAATCTCAAATTTAAGCAATGAATGTTATTGTTGCTTTTATTCTATATTGTATAGATTTAAAAAAAATTTAATATTACCCATTACACCCATTACAGACCCATTACATGTTTATTAATACCCATTTTTTCTATTCTTTTTTTGTAATTAACCCTAGGAAAACGGTATCCGGATGTATCATTTCTAAATTATAAAAATCGCAAGCGAATTTTGGTAAGAATTTTGAAAGAAATTGATGATTTAAAATAAAGTTGATTTTAATCGAAATCGTTCGCCAAATTTAGATAACTGGTGGTGCTGGATTCGTTGGATCGCATTTGGTGGATTACTTGATGATGCAAGGGCACGAAATTATTGTTGCCGATAACTTTTTCACCGGTCGAAAGCGAAATGTTGAACATTGGCTTGGACATGAAAACTTCGAATTGATACATCACGACATTGTAAACCCATTATTTATCGAAGTGGACGAAATCTATCATCTGGCCAGTCCAGCTTCTCCACCGGTAAGTGATGAATTAAAAATCAACACGATTGACCAAAAGAAACCCGAAGGAATGAGTGAATGCCCTTTAACCTTTCTGCCATTATTGGCAATAGAGTTTTTTTTGTCCGTTCAACTCATTTCGAAATATTATTGTATTCAAAAGTTTTACATTCAAATTTGTAAATTAACATTGCAGCATTACATGTACAATCCCGTTAAAACGATAAAAACCAATACCGTTGGTACAATAAACGTACTTGGCCTAGCCAAACGTGTCGGTGCTAAAGTACTAATAGCCAGTACATCAGAAGTTTATGGTGATCCAGACGTTCATCCACAACCAGAATCATATTGGGGTCATGTGAATCCGATTGGACCGCGCGCATGTTATGATGAAGGAAAACGAGTCTCCGAAACACTTAGCTATGCGTATGCAAAACAAGAAAATGTTAATATACGGGTAGCACGAATTTTCAATACATATGGACCAAGAATGCACATGAACGACGGACGGGTCGTATCCAATTTTATACTTCAAGCACTACAAAATGAATCCATTACGGTAATTGTTAAAAATTGTTTGTCATTTGAGAAATATTTTAGTCTAAATGTGAATATTTCGTAAAATCAGATATATGGCAATGGAAAACAAACGCGATCGTTTCAATACATATCGGATCTGATAGATGGGCTGGTTGCACTGATGGCATCAAACTATACACAACCCGTAAATATTGGAAATCCCGTTGAACACACAATTGAAGGTGAGTAGCAACATACATTTTTCAACCCACAAATGAATGGGGTAGAATAAAAACTACTTCTCGAAAAATTGCTATTTTAAAACGAAACCTAAAAAAAATTTCAATAAAAAGTGAATCAATTTTTTTTGTCCAATTGAAGTGAATCAAGAAAATTTTGTTCAATAAAAGTGAACCAAAAAAAAAATTTCACTCGGTTTTTTCAGTGTAAAATACACTAAAATGAATTTTTTTTTTGGGTTCACTTTTATTGAACAATTTTTTTTTTGGTTCACTTCAATTGGACGAAAAAAAATTGATTCACTTTTCATTGAAAGTTTTTTTAGGTTTCGTGTTTAAACATTTTTCGAGAAGTAGTTTTTATTCTACCCCATTCAAATTCAATTTAAAATTACATTTTCCATATCCATAGAATTTGCGGTAATAATTCGTGATTTGGTTGGTGGTAAAACTAGTAAAATGGAAACAATGCCAGCTGTCGAAGATGATCCACAACGGCGCAAGCCTGATATTGCACGAGCGAAAAAGTTTTTAAATTGGGAACCACGTGTACCGCTAAAAACTGGCCTCGATAAAACCATTGAATATTTTCGAAAAGAATTGGAACGATCGAATCACTCCAATCGCAATGTATATGTTCCGATTCCGGAAAAAGAACATGATATAGAAACTAAAAGTGTACCAAACAATTCCGTTGACAAAGGTGATGATGTATCTATTGTAAACGATAAAAAAAAGAAGCCTAACGAAAATCACCGCACATAAGCATCACTTCCGAATACAAATGAGATATATACAAAAAAAAAAAACAAATTTAGCGAATACCAATGTAGATAATAAATGTTAAAACAATTGAGTTGCTTTTTTATTCTTTTTTATGAAAAAAGAATTAATCTCTAGTCTTCATTAATCGAATAGATCAATTAGGAAAAAAATACCATCTTATTAACGGTCAATTTTCAGTGTCGAAATTTAAAAAAAAAACAAATCTCGTACTGTGAGATTTATGATAGTTATCAGATTTTGAAGATTTGTTATTTTTTGTGATTTACTAATCTTTTTTCAGACCATACTTTTTAAAGCTCTGAATAATAAAGTTACAGACGAAAAGAGAAAAATAGCGAATTTGTTTTATTTACGCATTTTCCATATGTGAAAGTTGAACTTTCAGATAGAAAACAGATGCCAAAACACAGTAAGCGTTTTCTTCTTTTATTTTACAATCATTTCGTTTGGATCAGTTTTTTGACTTTAGCGTCGCTATAGGCCGTGCAATTTTAATCAGTTCGAATTGTACTTGATGTGAAATAAGCACGTTTATTTTTTGGAAAAATACAAAACGGTGTGAAGATGGCAAGTGATTTGGTACAGGCTAAAATGGAAATTAAATCAGCTGGTATGAGTCGAAATTATTTCTGCGTCGAATGCAAATGCACCACACGAAATCCTCGATTGTATTTAGAGCATCGTCGTGATTTTCACAAAGAGCCAATTTCCATTCATGAATGTAAACTATGTATTTATGCATCAAAGCATTCACAAAAATTGGCACGTCATTTGCGAACTGTTCACCGAGACGTCGTTCAAAATATTACTGTTCATTCGGCTTGGAATCCGTCATTCAATTCACCCACACCAGATGGTTTTCAGTCGGTGATAAACACCGGGAAAAATACACGTTTATCAACGTGCAAATTATGCGGCCTGTACACAGTGAATAAAACGATTTTAATCGAACATGTTCGCGCACAGCATCCGGATGTACAAATTTTTGAATGCGATCAATGCGATTACACGCATTATATTCGCGATCGCTACAATCGACATCATCGATATCATTCAATGAATCAAATTCAATGCAAAATGTGTGAATTTCAAACAATTTACAGATGGAATTTGGAGCGTCACATGAGACATCATGTCGATAATATTTCATTGGGCTTTCGATGTAATAAATGTAATTTCACCGCGTCGACAAAACAAAGTATTACCGCACATGAAATTGCTCATCATAGTGGCCTACAATTGCATGGCAACTTAATCATTAAAAGCGAAACGAACATTCTGCCGGACGAAGTGCGTCCAAGCATATCAACAGCAGAACCACAATTAAAGCAGGAACATTTTGAAGATAATACGATCGATAAAAATGATAATGATACGGCCAATGATAATGCAAATAATGCCGATACACAAACTGAAGAGGGAAGTGATTTTGATGCAAGCGATTTTCTAGAAGTTGTTATGGATGAAGAATCGCAACCGACGTTGAATAATACAAACTTTTCGTTGGAAAGTACAACCGTTCAGTGGAAAAATATTACAATAAAACAGGAAATGCCAACTGAACCGAAAAATTCACAAAATACCAGTTATTTTCACTGTGTCAACTGTAATTTTCGGTGATTATCTTTGTGATTTTTTAAACATGATAATTGGAGAAAAAAAGCGACACAAAATGATAAAATTCTAATTTCAGCAATGAAATCGAAGTGCACAGTGCTGAGGAACGTCCACAAATCTTACCAAAAACTAAAATAATATCGACGGGCCCGATATATCGTTGCGGATATTGTCATCAAAAATCACAGTGGAAACATGTTATTGAGGTTAGAGGCAGTTGAAAAACAAACAAAAAACGGACAATAAATTGATATTCTTTATTAATTTTCAGCGTCATTGTCGATTGGTTCACAGTTCAATTGCAAACATTGAAAAGTATTCGGTTAAAGACGACACATTCAAAACTTTTACTCCAACCAAACGTCGACTCGATCCTTCAACCGACAATTTTCCATCGCCAAAGAAACAAGTGAAGGATGATAACATTGAAATGAATTCGCAGACGGAAATAAAACCATTTATTGACACTTCTATCTTTCAGAATTTGAATTGAATAAAATGTGTCATCGAAAATTCCATTTTAATTCTACATTTTTTTTGGTTTTATTTCCGTTTTTAATTTGAAACCTAAATGTACAAAAATGAATGCATTGTGTATGTAAAAAACCTCTAAAATAGTTTTAATAAAGCGAAGTATCAAGTCGAATTCCACAGCTATTGAATATTTCACAAACAAACGAGTTTGATGATATTTATCAAACACCGAAGAGCCCACAAATAATAACAATAAACCACCGCAAATTGATAACAAATCGCCATATATCATATCACATAAAAAATGCATATAAAATAATAATAAAAAAAATTATGCCGAAACCGTGGATTGAACACGGGACCTTTAGATCTTCAGTCTAACGCTCTCCCAACTGAGCTATTTCGGCACATGTCTCATGAAGAGTAGATGTGAAGGAGGCCGTTTTTTACCGATTTTTCCATTTGTTTTCTTATATTGAATGTTCTTCAGATCATAAGTGACAAAGATAAATCGTTTTTACTTAGTACCCATGAGTACATCTATTGTGTATATTAAAAAAAGATCATATGACGGATAATGTTGTTTTCATTACTTACCAGAGTTTGATTTTGGATTTGGTTTCAAAATTGAGTTGAGCGTTTCATATAACATGTTATACATTTTCATGCCTGATCATTCAAAAGCCTTTTACCTTTTTTCTAAACAGAGTCCACTATTTTGTAGAGCAATAAGGTTGCATTTTTTTCATTATCTAAAAATGTTCGTACAAACATGTTTATTCAACTTGATTATCCATAACTCAATTGAGTTTTCGAAGTGAAAATCCACAGAAATTTCAAATAATTGTATTAAAATTTCAATTTTATGGCATCGGCCAGAAAAAAATAAATAAAAAAAAACAAAGTTGGACAAGCCTAATTGAAATGGTCTTTGAATCTAACTATTAGTTACTAACTAAGGTCAAAGTCTTTGCCTCAAAGATAAGAAAGACAATAAACCCAAACCTGGATTTTCCGTTTCAGTTGACTGAAAATCAATGTTGTTTGTTCATTATTATTTAATTGTTTGTTGTATGTTATTCATCAATTGTACTGGGAAAGTAGGCTATAAATAATCGCTTGAATTTCTGTCTCTTTTACGTTTTTTTTAACAGTGTAAGAACAGTAGAACATCATATGTGTAACATAGTAGAAAGACACGTGCTATGCATATGTATTTGTGTATGTTTGACATACTCTTCTGTGTATTTTTGCTACTGTGTTCTCTTATGCATATGTGAATTTACATATTTGACAAGAAAGCGAATCGAAATGAATATCGCAAATCATTTAAACTACTCATTCTGTTTAACTCAGCGCATCAATGTAGATTATGAAATAGCCTCCTATCAGAGGTTAGACTTTTTCGTTGTTGTTTTTTATTTTTTCAATTTGAAAACAAAATGATCTTTCAAACAGATTCGATTTAGTTTTTCTTGATTAAAATAAATGAGAAAGTATATTAATTGTTATGTGCTTAAACTATGCCATTGAATGTTTTAAGTAAAATTATTGGAACGTTTAAGTAAAATGAGATGTATAAGTTTTAAATGAAAAGTACAAAGTGTAATTCAATTGGCTGTGTCATAATAAATGATGCTTAATTAAAAATCTATTCTCAGCTCAACTGGTGGTGCTTTCATTTTCTATTCTTGATATTTAATAGTTGTGTTGATTGAATTGAAAAAAAAATGGAATCGGCGTACAGAAAACTATTGAAAAATCCACGGAATGGTGCCAATTTTTTATCGGTGGTATTCTTCGGCTGGTCAATACCGATTTTTAAAAAGACTTACAATAATGTTTTACACCCAAATGATGTATTTGAACCGATTGATGAAGATTACTCCGACAGACTGGGAGATCGATTGGAAAAGTATGATCGCATATTAAAAACAAACGGTTTTAAATAGAATTAAAAGATTCATTTTCCCTCTTTTAGACATTGGGAAGCTGAGCGAGTGAAAAAAGTACGGCCATCATTGTTACGTGCCTTATTTAAAACGTTTTGGTTTGAAGTGCTTGTTCTGGCAATTTTTTGTATGTTTACGGATTGTATTTGTCGTCTGATATACGCTTTTTTATTTGAACGACTTTTATCATACTTCCGGTTGGTATAATGGTTTTTTTTTTACATTTTTTGTGTTTTAGTCATCAAACTCTAGTGCCCAATTCATATTTCCATTTTTTTCTTAATTTAAAGTGAAAATTCTGATGTAACTGGAGATGATGCATTGATGTATGGAAGTATATTTTTTGTGCTCACCGTTTGTTATGGCATTGCATTACTCCATTATCTCTACCGAGGCATGTGCTGCAGTATGAAGCTTCGTGTCGCCCTTAGTAGTATTATTTATCGAAAGGTTTGTGGGTGTCGTTCAATTGCAAATTAAATTGATGATATTCGATTTGAATTTCTCACTTATGCCTTTACCTTATCGATACAGACACTTCGCCTGTCACAACGATCTCTGAGCAATATTGCACCGGCAAAACTGGTGAATTTATTGTCGAATGATGTTCAACGATGTAATACTGTCAGTTTATTACATCCATTGTGGATCTCACCCTTGGTATCAATTATAGCTGCCTATATATTATGGACGGAAATTCAATGGGCTTCCCTCATCGGAATGGCTATCATTTTCCTCTTTGTGCCAATACAAAGTAATTTTTGATTATTTACTCCAATCGATAACCCACTTCCATTCAAATAAAATAACTATAAATTTACAGGTTATGCCGGTAAATTGTTGACAAAGGTTCGATTCGAAACTGCATTGCGAACGGATGAACGTGTTCGATTTATGGATGAAATTGTGTCTGGTGTTCAAGTGATAAAAATGTTTGGATGGGAACGTCCATTTGAAGGTCTAATAGCAGCTGCACGACGCAGTGAATTGAAATTCGTTTTGAAAAATCTTAATATTCAAACATTTCAAATGACAATCTACCTTTTTACAACACGAGTTGCGCTTTTCTGTACAGTGCTATCGTTTGTATGGATATACGGAAGCCCAGAAATGACAGTTTCAAAAATGTTTACCACTGCATATCTACTTAATTTAATTTCGATGGCAATGTGCCGCATATTTATTCGAGCTATATCTGAGATCAGTGAAGTGTATGTTTCATTTAAACGTTTACAAAACTTTCTTGAATATGAAGAAAATGATGAATCTAAGAATGAATCAGAAGAGATAAGCTGTGATGAATTGACATCACAAAATCTAGCTATTTCAATGAAAAATATTTCAGTCCAATGGAATTCGCCCGAGGATCAAAATAAATCCGCAAAGGTTGATAAATACAAAGGAGCAATTGAATTAGACACAAGCAAGGACGAACCGTTTCAATTGCAAGACATTAATTTGGAAGTGCCAAAGGGAAAATTGGTGTTCATCGTGGGATCCGTTGGAAGTGGCAAATCGACACTTATGCAAGTTTTGCTAAGGGAATTACCTGTTAAACAAGGTCTTTTCGGAATTAATGGTACAGTTTCGTATGCAAGCCAAATGAGTTGGACATTTACATCGACAATTCGACAAAATATCACTTTTGGCCAAACGTTGAACCGATCGCGTTACGATGAAGTTATTAAATGCACAGCTTTAACTAAGGACTTTAAACAGTTTAGTAGTGAGGATATGACAATGGTGGGCGAAAATGGAGCTGGACTTTCGGGTGGCCAAAAAGCGAGAATCAAGTAATTTATTGTTTGTCTACTTTTTTTAGTTTTCATATTTGAGCTAATATGTTTTGATTGCAGTTTGGCTCGAGCGATGTACCGAAAAGCCGATATATATTTAATCGATGACCCACTGAGTGCTGTAGATTCACATGTACAATCTCATTTGTTCAAAAAATGCATTGGACCCAATGGTTATTTGGCGCGACAAAATGCCACACGCATATTAATTACACATCAATTGCATTTCATGAAGGAAGCCGACTGGATTGTTGTTTTGAATGATGTAATAATAATCAAATAGTTTTCAAATTGAGTGGAAACAATTTATTATTATAATTTTATTTATAGGGAAAAATTGAAGTACAAGGAGATTATGATACGGTATTGAAGACCGGAGTTGATTTTACTAGGTTGCTGGGCCGAAATGAGAACGATCAGGTTGGTCAAAATGAAGAACAGCTCAAACGTAGAGATTCGGCAATATCACAGAGAAGTAAAAGTGCATCGTTAGATGAAGGAACAAGATTTTTGGAAGGAAATAATGAAGAGGAAAATCCATTAGCTATTGAGTTGGAGGCATCATCATCGGGGAAAATCAAAGGATCTCTCCTTTTTAGTTATTTGAAATCGTCAAATATTCCATGCGCTTTATTACTTTTAGGTGCATTATTTGTGATCACTCAAGTTATTACTAGCACCGCCGATATTTGGGTTTCTTTGTGGTAAATTTTGTAACAAACCAAATTATCACCATTACTTTAAAGTGTGCAACGATTTTCATTTTCAGGATTAGAAGTGAAGAAAGACGAGTATATCTATTGAAACATAAAAATGAGACAACTTCAGATGATGGACAAAATTTATGGTCTACCAACACATACATATATATCTATGGTGGAATTATGATCTCGTTGATATTAATAGCAACCATTAGGTCAACAATATTCTCTCTGGCATGTACGAAAGCATCACAGAGTTTACATGACACAATGTTTCATGGATTGATATCCACAAAAATGAAATTTTTCAACGAAAATCCTGTTGGTCGCATAATGAATTTGTTCACGAAGGACATGGGCAGCGCTGATGATATACTGCCAAAAACTCTTTTGGAAGCAGCACAATGTATTTGCATTGTGGTTGGTTCAATCTGTGTTATCATTTTCACGGATACCAAACTTTCAATTGTGATTCTTGTAATGGGAGTTATATTCATTTTATTGCAAAAAGTTTATTTGAAATGTTCCACAAACATCATGCGATTAGAAGCAATAAGTGAGTGAAAAAAAAATACTTTTTAGTAAATTTGTACATTTTTTGATTTGACAATTGCTTGCAGCGAAATCACCTGTATTTACACACATTTCGGCAACATTAAACGGTCTATCAACGGTTAGAGCATTTCAAGCCGAACCAATTTTACGAGATGAGTTTGAACGACACCAAAACCTTAATACAGGCACTTGGTCAATGTTTTTGGGTATATCACATGCATTTGGATTATCGTTGGATATGATGGTATATGTTTTCATTGGTGTTGTCCTTTATATATTCCTGATTGTAAATGAAGGTTTGTGAGATGCGATTCCTATAAATTATGTGTGAAAAATGAACGGAATTTCGACGAATCTGAATAGATTTATTCGAATCCATATGTTGGCACGCACACAATTTCTTCCAATTGAATTAGTTTATTTCAAAACCACCTTTTTCCATAGGTGTAACTGGAGACCGGGTGGGTCTAGCAATATCACAGGCGCTTAGTTTATTGGGAATATTGCAATACGGAGTGAGACAAAGAAAGTATTTCAATACGTTCCCTAAATTTGGGCCCTTATTAAATGATTTATATGCAATTTTAAAACAGGTGCCGATGTGACGAATCAACTAACGTCTGTAGAACGTATTTTAAAATACAGCCAATTAGAGCCAGAGATACAGCCAGAAGTACCACAGAAAGTATCTTCCGACTGGCCATCAAAAGGGAAAATTGAATTCAAACAAGTTTTTTATCGGTATTCGGCTGACGATGAGCCAGTTTTGCGTGGATTGTCATTCTCTGTGAAACCCAAAGAGAAAGTCAGTGTCGTGGGCAGAACGGGAGCTGGGAAATCATCATTGATCAGTTCAATTTTCCGATTGGCTATCGTCGACGGCGACATACTGTTGGACGATGTCAATACATCCTCGGTTGATTTGAAAGTATTGCGATCGAGAATATCGATTATACCTCAAGAACCGATTCTTTTCTCGGGCACTTTACGAAGGTAAGCCTCCCATCGTAAATAACGTTAGTTTTCAGAAGTTAAAAAACATCGCATATTTTTTTGTCAGGAATTTGGATCCATTCGAAGAATATTCCGACGACGATATCTGGAATGCGCTTGAAAATGTTGAGCTAAAGGAATTCATATCGAAGCATAACGGATTGCAAATGCCTGTTCTAGCTCATGGGCAAAATTTCAGCACTGGTCAACGACAAATCTTATGTTTAGCGCGTGCAATTTTAAGAAAGAATCGCATCATAATTCTGGACGAAGCAACTGCAAATGTTGATCTGCGGTAAGACCTATTTCATATTTTGATTTACTCATTCTGAATTAATTTTGACTCGGTCCTCCTTCGTACATAGAACTGATGAAATGATTCAAAAGACAATACGTGAGAA